GCTTACATGTCTAGTTACTGTCTGGCATTAAAAAAAATAATAAAACATAATCAATCGTCTGTTTCTGTCGGGGCCTTTCCCACGCAAACAAACATCCGAAAAACTAAAGCTGATCGAAGAGTAAACGAGACTTCTTTTTTTACTTTATGAATGCACTTACGGATTAAATAATTATCTAATGAGGTGTGGAATAGCGGGCAAGGAAGAAGGGTTAGAGAAGGTTGGTGGTTTAGGTTAAAGGGGAAGATAGTGGAAGGGTAGAAGATGATTGGAAGACGTTAAAAAGCGAGAAAGAGAGGGAGATAGTAAGAGAGAAAGTTGAGAGATCATGAGAGAGCGAGTGAGAGGCAGACAGAATGAGAGAAGGACAGTGTGAGAGAGAGGGCGAAAGAGAGTGAGAAATAGAAAGAGAGATACGGAATGAGAAATAGAGGGATAGAGAGACAGAAAAAGTTAGAGAAGGGAGCGGAACAGAAAGAAAGAAAAAGAGAGAAATATAGAAAGAGAGAGTGAAAGAGAGACAGACAGAGAGTGAGAGAGCGGAAGAAAGATAGGGAAAGAGAGAGTGAGAGAGCGGAAGAGAGATGGGGAAAGAGAAATGGAGTGGGAGAGAGAATGGGGGAGAAAGAGAGCAAGGGAGCAAGAGATTAACAGAGAAAGAGAGAATAACAACGTTGGATTTATAAGTCGCCCCCCCACCCTCTTCACACTCATGCATTTTTACGCCTGCTCATAGGTATCGAAGGCCTTCTCTACGCAGCTGTGAAGCAACACACTGGATTACAACCACTCAGTTATTATGAAGCAGAGACACGCCTCCCGATCAGTCTGATCAATCATATAACACCTTCACCATACTAAATAAATCATTTTTTTATGAAACAGGGGGGCAGGGTGTCATTTTCAGAGCTTCGCCCCCGGATGCAGCTGTTCCTCAGCACGGCCCTGGTTGCAGCAATGCTTTCTCAAAGGAAAGGGTCATGGTCAGAAGCTATAACTATAACAATGAACTTTATTTAGGCATACTAAGATTTTTTATTTTTTTTTACGATATTAGTTTTTGCTACTCTCAAAAAAACATTTTTTTTAAAAATTAAATTTGCCTCAATGTTATTGATAGGTTCCAAAGGCAATGGGTGTGGAGTCTAAATTAGCTGAAGTGATGTAATCAGGTTTTCTTTCAGCTATATCTCGGGGGGGGGGGGCATTGACCCCCCGGGGAAAGCCAAGTGCACACCTCCCGAACAAAAATATGTCCATCAATAAATCAACTGGCACTGCCCCCCCCCCCCCCCGAAAAATCTCAAGTGCCCCCCGGGTCTTCCTTTTTTTTAAAAATTAAATTTGCCTCAATGTTATTGATAGGTTCCAAAGGCAATGGGTGTGGAGTCTAAATTAGCTGAAGTGATGTAATCAGGTTTTCTTTCAGCTATATCTCGGGGGGGGGGGCATTGACCCCCCGGGGAAAGCCAAGTGCACACCTCCCGAACAAAAATATGTCCATCAATAAATCAACTGGCACTGCCCCCCCCCTCCCCCGAAAAATCTGAAGTGTCCCCCGGGTCTTCCGGGGGGAAAATTCTGAAATAATCACTGGACGTAGCTCACTTACCCCGGTAAAGAGGTTATAAGAATAAAAGATTTATCTTTTATACAGCATCGCGGCACATTGCTAGAAATTGATAAAATAAAAATGATTTGTTCAAGTGTTGATAAATTGTACACACAGACCGGGTTTGGATTTTTTTGGTGCTGTCTTTCTGTCCATTTGTACCGTCAAGGCATTGACGAGAGATACTCTTGGCCTTGGGGATTTCCAGTACAGTCGGTGATACCAAAAATATAATTTTAAAAACTAATTTTTGGTTTCTTTCCTAGCTATGGTTGCCGCTATTATCGAACTGGGCAATTATTATGGGGGGTCGTTCGCAAATTACGTCATGCCGAAAATGACATTTTCACACACCCCCCTACCCCACTGTCATAAAGTGTCACAAATTCTTTACCCCTCACCCCCCTCCCCCCCCCTTTTTAGTGTCACGTCACACCTAAAAAAATCAAAACATGTATACAATTGTCAAAAATAATCTAACAATATGTTTTATTATTTAACATTTTATAATATAATGGATTAAGATGTAGTATTATTAGGAAACTGTGACGCAAAACAATGAAGTCCTCCCCACGCCGAATGTAAAATGGCCACAAAAGTTTTTGAGACATTTTTCGGTATGTGCAGAGGGTGTGAGCGACTGAGTTTTACGGTACTTAAAATACCCGAGGCAGAATTTCGACCTCAAATTAATGTTTTTAAAATTAATTGAATAAAGATTTTTCAAAATTATAAAATTTTAATTTTTTTTTTTTAAAGTGTGATGTCACACATTTTTTACCACCCTCCCCCCCCCCGGTCACAAATTCTCGACCCCTCACCCCCACCCTGAGCGTGACGCAATTTGCGAAACGACCCCTATAGGCCTATAGTACTAGCTGGGGCAATGCAAATACGTAAAAAAATTTGGAAGAGGTGCATAATCTATAAAAATAATAATAATTTAAGATGCACGGACTTTGAGGCTAATTTTGCCCATATAGACCAAGTTACTTTCTACAGCGTCGAAATTCCTGTGATATATATCTCCTTATCTAGTAGTTAACCACAAACTATTTTATAAATCATTTCCACAGTTCTGAGTTTATCATCCTTGCCAAGAATTAAAGAGGATTTTACAATATGGTAGGCCTCGTTTTTTTTTTAAACTCAGTGACAGAGACATGTGTTCTTGTTTGTTGCTTTTGGTGCGTACGACGGGGGAATGAGAGCGAGTCACGGTGCGCAATCGTGGGCGACAAGATCAATCCGAAAATAATCTTATACGATTTCATACTTATTTATCTCTATTATAAGTTTAATAAAGCAACACTTTATGTTGTGGAAGTGTGGGAAAAATAGTATTATGCATATAACACGGGTCAAGAAATTGGGTTGAATAGGTTAAAAGTTCGTTCGTCCGTCGAAGATCGACGAGGACCATCGAGTCGTTCGGTGACGGATGATTTACGCGGGTGACTTTGTTTAAAGTGAGGAAGAGTTTAGCAGGCTTCAACCTCACTCTCTCGTCCGAGCCCACTATATATCCAGTGGCAAGACTCTTACGTCAAGACAACCAGGGATGGGTACGGTTGGAGGAATTGTCATTGTATGCGCCTTAAGGGACTCCAACTCCGGGTTTGAATTCAGAGTTTCCTTCTCTTAGATGAGTTGCCGACGAGTCTCATCCATCCGGGGTGATGTTTTTGCTTGACTAGCCTTTGGCTGGAATTGAACTCGACAAACTTGACGTTTGCTCAGTTTAGACCATTCGGCCACACTGTCACCGCCTTTCGTCCGTTGACCAAGTAGTGGTTCTTCCGCACAATTTTCCGGATTCAGTCTTTACATGCTATGGGGGACAAGTCCTTTTTTTTCGGAAAGTTCTCTGCCTTTCGGCTACCCTCAACCTGTTCATTAATTGGTCACGTATATAATAATAAAGAAAGTTACAGTAGCTTGAAATTCAAAATAAACCTTTCACTTTACTCAATTTTAGCACTTTAACTTTCTTCAGATTAATCTCACACATGATGCCTTCTGTAAAATATTAAAACGTAAAAAGTGATACTTATTTAAAAAAAAAAAAATACTTATTGTGTTTTTAAATGTTCTTTCCAAAAATGTATAGTGTAATGAATCTCTATTTATGTTTGGCCNAGAGTCAAACCTAGCCCTGGGCGTCATAATGACTAACTAGGGGTGTATTTAGAGTGTTTGGCGCCCCAGGGACAAGATTAGTTTGTACGCGCCCCTCGCTACCATGGAACCCATTATTTTAATCAATAATATACAATCAAACATGCTATACATACACTTGATCTGAACACTCCCTTTGAACTCCACCAAAACTCCCTGGTCACAATAATTTTTAACTGCACTAAATCGAAACATTGAAGGGATTTTTTTTTTAAATTTAAAAAATACTTTCATGTTTATTGTTATTGAAATCAAACTTCCTTGAAGTTGAAGATATGTGTTGATTTCAAGGTCGAACATAATAATATTCCCACTATCTTACAGCTCCTGAAGCAACTTTTTGTCGCTGCTTGGATCTGTTCAATCGATCTCTACGCTAACAGGTTCGATAGCTTGCATTACAGTTACAGGGTTGTTCTTAAAATTTGAATTTCAGCAACTCTAAATTAAACCAAATTAACCTTTAAGATGAAAACTGATTAAAATTACAACTTGTGAGTGAAGTCAAGCTTGGTGAGATGATGCTGAATAAATATTTGTAAAAAAATATTAATATCTTTGCTGTGTCTTGCGCTCTTGGCCAGATTTTCTTATTGTTTGTATTATTATTATTTTAAATTAGAAAGAAAATATATCATGTATAAACCGTTACCGAGCTAACCTTTAACTTTTATTTATTTATTTGTTTTTAAATTAAGAAAAAGGATAGGGTTAGTGAGGGCCATACCTCAATAAGAGTTCATTAAGAGCTGATTTGTCATGACCCGATCAAAAAAAATTTTTTCTCTATGCGCAGCGTAAATTTCATCAGCTCATTTAAAATACCTATTAAAAGTTATGTAGTAAGCAAGTACTCAAGTACTAGACATATAAAATAAGAGAAATGAGATAAGAATTTAAACAAAATTAAAATTCAACTCAATATCCCTGTTTGGAACAGGAAATGCTGTGCCAGGCAAGTTCAAGTCAACAAATCACAAGAAAAGTTGCTTGGAAGAGAACTAAGATACTGCACAGTGATATACGCTTGCCTTCACTCTCTTACAGATTCACAAGTAGACAGAGTCATCGGAATCAAATATCACACAGTGTTAGATGCATTTGAGTTCATTCTCTTACAGATTCACACGTAGACAGAGTCATCAGAAGGAATGAACAGTTTATTTCATTTCCAAGTTATCAATAGGAAATTAAAGCAAAAACCAATTACCAGTGGTCTTCAATGATGAGGACAAGTGCATGTTTAAAACATCAATAGCCCCTTAGAATAAAACAGATCTGTATTTCTTTCTCCACCTTTTCAAAACCCCAATAAAAAGATATCTCACCAAGTAGATTACTTGAAGGGTTGAATCCTCATAGCCCCCCCCAAAGCTGTGCAACATCTCTCTAAGGTATACAATGGTTATGGTTAAGTTAGATTATTATTAATATTAATGGCTAAACCAGTGGGATTGAAAAATAAGATGTTTTTAAATTTTTTAACAGATTTTATGGCAGTGGGTATGAGCTGATGGTTTCCCCACATAAACATAATGGTGCTTAGTGTTGCAAATGAAATTTTATAAAATAGTTTGACCAAGCAGCTTTGAAAAAAAAAAATTCAAATTTAATTCCTTTCAATGAGAAATGAAATCAATGCAATTTTTATCTCAAATTCACCCCGCTTGTTTAACACAGATAAAATAATAAGTAATTGTTTTTTTCTATTTGTTATTCTAGCTAAAATATATGGTGATACTGTCTGTGACACATAATAAACACAGCATATTGATGTGAAGGTTACCAGACCCACACTACATTCTATGGTTTTAAGATGAGGTGCATGCATTTGTTCTAAAAAAAAAAAAAAACGCCTAACAAACTAAGTTCTGGCATGATGGCTAATACTGAAAATTACACTGTCATGTCAAAATTAAAACGGGAATCCACATGCTGAACAGTGTGCTATTAGAAATAGCACAAAACTGGCACAAAAATAAAGCTAAGACACGAGGGATGAGCATTACATAAATGCTTGCAAAATAATTAAAAAACAACAAAGAGTAACGAGATGAAGTATTGAAAAATTCATCCGTCGATCGTCTCAGCGAGCGGCAAATCTTTACAACTGATTCAGTTCAACATAATGGTATGAAAGAAAATAAATTAAAAGTGCATATCACAAGATGAGAAAACACAAGAGAGCAATGTCTCCCTTGGTTTCTTCAATGTAAACAAAATTCCAGCCCCGGTGTGGTCACCAACATAAAAATTGTCATAACATAGGAATATTAAACAAACTCAGCTGTTACCAACAGTGTATGAATTCAACAAATAAAATGTTGAAACACACAACCACATGAACCACACACAGAAAATACAATGTTTAAAAATCAATATTTCAGTGTACTTAACCTATATTCTCTTATTGAGCCAATCCGAGGAAGTCAATCATAGCAACACATCACACAATTAGTGTATGCAACATTTTTTAGCACTTAGAGTAAAAATGTTTTATAATTGCAGAATTTTGTTAAATTTAATGATTGTGGAAGCCTAAATAAATCCTAACAAGCATTTGAATGATATTCAATGTGAAAAGCTGCATAAAATATTCCCCTGGAGGTGCTTATGCCTTTTGGAATATTTCAAGGTCACATATATTTATAGCTTTTATAGGGTTCTAGAGGTACAAAAAAATTGATATAAAATGACAGAACACCATAAACTATCAATGGAAGCCACCATTAAAATGGTGAGATGAGCAAAAAATGCATGAAGCAATCTGATTAGCTGGTATGAAGTCCAGTCAGCCAATCTTGGGGCATTATAATTGGGCCAATGGATCACCCTTTGTTGGTCTTTTTCGTCATTCGACTCTGGGCCAATAGATCGGCCCAGCTGTCTCAAGAGGGTTCAGGTGATTATTATTATAATGGTAGGAAAATGGTTCACATGCCATGCAGATAGTCTTAATGTATGGGAAGGAAAAGTAAAGTTTAGCATAAAAGGGCAGTCGATTTCATAAATGAAGAATTAATAAATTAAAGTTACTATTCAAGCTCAAAGATAAGGTGACATCATGATTCATGTATTTTTTTTCAAAAGGTTCACTATGAAGTAAATTGCACTGTAAATAAAAAAATATTTAGAGCAGACGAAAATGTTGTAACAATTCACGATTACAATTTTTAAAAGTAAATCATTTAGATAGCATTGAGTATGAGTAATGTAATAAAATTTTTTTAAAGACTGCAACCATGAAGTACAGAAATTCATGTTCCTGCAGGAACACTAAGAGAAATATACAATCTTTCATGGCCTTCACATATGTTACACTCAGACATCTGTATTGTATTTCTAACTAATATTGAATACAGATGCTTATGTTTTGATTTTGTTTACATTTTTTTTAGCATTCATTAAAATAGTTTTCTTTCATAAAATGACATTAGTTTGTTTTTTCCTCAAAGGAAGCGTAATTCAAATATATATATTTATATATCCACATGTATTCTATTGAAAACATTCACCGTTCAGGAATCTCATCTCACACATAAAACAGCTACTATCAGAAACATGACCTGAACAGACTCCATCAAAGACCCATTTCTGACATCAAGTAGAACATTGCATAAAGGACAAAGACCAAGGCAATTAACAGCCAGATCGGATGAAAAGAAGCTGTAAAGAAAAAAGTGTATATTTATTTATATAGTAGTTAAAAGGTCCTTTGTGCAGAATTATTTGATTACAATGGAATAATAATTGCTCTTTAAGTTTTTTAAGACATATTGCAGGATACATTACATTAAGGATGAAATTATCTTCCTATGATAAATTAATCATTAAGTATCCATATTGTTATACATAAAATAAATACTTGGAGATGACACTTCATGTAAATTTTTATTTTAAAAATACTAAGAAACATGAAAATTAAATCATTCCTTTTTTTAAGCCAAAGAGATTAGCTTAAACTTAAAGTAAAGTGGGTATTCTAAATAAAAATTCTATAATTAGACTATTATTAAAGCTCAACTATTCCTAAAAATAGAGCTCGCTTCATTAGAAAAGAACCTCCAATTTTATTGCTAAATCTCAAATTTCAATAAAGTTATGAAATTTTAAAAACTGTGGAAAAGCATACAATTTTAGAGCACTGAAAAAGGTGTATTTTTGACACCTGCAATCTTATAAAATAACTAAGATATAACTTTCAAATCTCATGCACACACAGCCAGTTAAACATATAACAAACACAATTTTTTTCAAGTTTGTCACAAAGATGGAAATAAAAAGAATTATTTATATAGATATGTGCTGAAGCAGAATTTGTCAAAAATATGCAAAGGGAGACAAAAAAATAAATTTTAGTTCATTAAAAAAAAAAAAGGACAGTAAAAATTAACTAAATCAGTTATGAGTTAGAAATACAATTTTTTGATAATGTCAAAAGAAATTTAAATTAAATTTTTGTGAAATTAACCGACAGAGGATGAATTAAAAGTGTGATCAGCTAGAATTTTCTCAACTAAGATCAACTAGAATTTTCTCAACTAAGATCAACTAGAATTTTAAAAGTAAAAAAAAAATCAGACAAGATAACTAAATTTACTTTTCACCACATTGTAGAAATTACAATGTTTCTCTAATTGGAAACAAATAATGCTTAACCCCTTTACTGTTCAGCTCGAGTAAACTCCAGCCACTAAATTGGTCTGACAAACAGTCCCCTCGAGTTAACTTGTTTAAATAAATAAAAGACTAGCCGTAGCGTGGTGGCCACGATTAAACTTGCCCAAAATATATAAATGTAAATGGGGTGCACCATAAATTTGCATAGATTTATTTTTTGTGATGTACAGTCACCTTTTTTGTGTATTTTGTTTTATGAAAAGTATTTACATTTGAATAGCAGATGGTAAAACATTTTCTTTCTATTTTCCTAATTTTTTGCAAAAAGTTGTCAATCAGGAACCATTTAGTTCTCAATTTATAATTTATAATATTCAATAGAAGATGGTATATTTCAGGAATTTTACTATTTATTTAGCTGTGGCAACACACGAACAAGGTCAACAGTTTAACAAGTACAGGAGCTTTTATTTCAAGACACGGACAGCAGTGATGACATAGAGAGCAATAATGCTCGTGAAGAAGAGGATGATTCTGCGGAAGAGGAATCAGCAGTTGAAAGTGACGACAGTGATGACACAGTTGAATACGATAACTCGACGTATGTTTGGTCTCATCGAAAATAAACAAGAAATAAAAAAATATAATGACAGAAATGGGCTGCAATTCCAAAAACAAAAAAGAAACGGTAAAGGGGTTAAGAAATATCCCTGAAAAGGGGTACTTTCTAACATAAAATTGAGAATTACCAACATAATATAATAAATTTGAATACAAAATTAATATCGAAACCTGCAATACTGATAGCACAAAATTATATGACAAAGTAGATAAGCCTAATAGATAAGTAATTTGTAGTCTGCATGCTACATGCGTTAGAATTATTTATGAGATAGAAAACCATTTGAAGAAACTATGTTAGAGGGCATCTGATGCCACCAATGGATGGGAAGGAGTGTATTTTAGAACGCTAATTAATAATCCATCCCAGTGATAAAAAGTTTGATTGCTTGTGTTGCGAGAGCAGCACTACCAACTGAATAGGTGCTCCTGGATTGATTATGCCCCACTTGCTTAGTCATTCAAGTGGACAATGGGTGGGGCTGTCTAAACAGCGGAGCATTTCCAGCATGCCTCTTTGGGGCCCAAAGATTCTTTTTCGAGTTGGGGGAAGATCTTGAGGGCATAATGAGCTCCGGCTCCACGGCTTGCTGTTTTTCTTAAGACTTTAGACTTTCACTGGTTTCAGATCAAATCTCTGCAATAAAAACAACCTGTGAATAAGAAGATTTAATTTGCACTTACATCTTTCTGGGCACTGATGAAGGCGGATGGTGTTATCAGCAGATATACTGAGCAGATTAAAGTCTTGGTTTCCTGTTATAACCTTCATGGCTTCTGAACAAGGCATAAACTCCACATTGGTCACAAATATACTGTGTGCTTCTTTGACATGGTACAGTCTCTTTGAAAGGTAAACAAAATGTCGTTGCAGCATTATTAAAACTTTGACACTCTTATTTTCCCTTAGAAGTTAAACTTATTTCAGTTAAAAATTATTATTATAATAATATGTACTTACCTATTATAATCGTGCATGGGCAAAAAAAAAATAAACTAATAATATCTGATTTGTTAGTATCCAACTAAACCAGGGGTTTTAGACTAGGGGTGCCCACAGATAATTTATATTTATTTAAAGATCATATTTAATAGATGAGCTTACCTGCAGACTGAAGGACACATAGACAGAAACACTTCCTGAGATTGAACCCACACCTAAGTAGATGCCTTCATTACTGAAACAACAAAACGTTGTTTAGTTTGACAAGCTTTTATTTAATTAAACAATGAGCATACTAGCATAAAAAAAGTATTTTATTTCCCTGTTCCGAACAATATCATCATACTCTACTATGATTTCTTTATAAAAAAATATAAAAAAATATTTAGGTTTCAAAAACTGGTTATATATATTCTTCAAAGCAAAATGTTTGCTACCACAGAAAATACAAATTAACCACCTGTCTTTTAAATAATGAAAAAAAAAGTTAGTGAATTTGTTAAACATTTTAATATACTGAAATGCTACTTTTTTTAATATTTAAGAAACTAACTAGATAAATACCTGACAGCAAAGGCTGACACAACTTCAGTACCAACACTGGCTGCTTTCTTTAATAAATACTTGCTGCTGTCCCACAGGCCAATGTAGCAGTGAGATTTGGCAGATCTTGTAACAGGAATGTTGACTGTATAAAAGTTAAACTTATCTTTTTTGCCCTCGATCAGGCCATATCTGGGAACAAAATATTTTACAAAGAATTTTTGGCCCTCAGTTAGGCCATATTCGGAAGAGAAAAAAATGTTTTACTGCGATCTGCTCTTAAAAATTGGGGTTTGAAAATAAGTTCTATTTAAGAATATGCTTTGAATAAAAGCAACAAATGCAAGGTGATTTAGCTTAGAAAAAAAATAATTACAAAACTAAATTACTAATTTAAATTATTGGACAAATTCTTATTTGCAAAGGATACACAAACATTGTATGGGGCATATTAACAAATTATAAATAGTTAAATAACTGATACATACAACCTTACTGAAGAATTGGTTTAGAAATATTTAATATACAATGGACTTTTCTCATTTTGTCAAATTTTCTGATTTAATGCCAATCTCTTACACAAACCATAAAGTACACTTACCTGCATGCTCTGAACCTGTAGAGTTCTGATGATTTTTGGGTCCAAAATATATCTGAAATTTTCTTTCCATTGTTAGCTCCCCACAGGCTTGCATTTTTGTCACGGGATACTGTGATTATCTGAGTAAAAGATATACCTGATTTTTCTTTTATAACAATCTCCAATACCAATAATACATTCACCAGAACTTGATGCATTTATTGGAAGATAAAACCCCCCCTGACAAATCTAGATATATTTTAACACAGAAATTTGTGATGAAGTTGGTTATATGATTATTCTTAGACAACGTTCTTAAGCTTAAAAGATACTTCATAAAGTTTAAAGTCGAACCGATTGTCAACATCTTGTCCAATTTATCTTTATGAAATATTTTTAATAAAAATGTATGATAATGGTGATGAAATTCTTTGTTGTTCTCACTTTTCATAAATAATTGCATTCTATTTTTTTCAACTTCAGTTCAACATGCAACAGAAATAGGTGTTATTGAGAAAAACTTGTTTTGAAAATATTGGTACACAAAAAATACTTAAATTTGAAAAACAGTAATATTATAATCAAACCTTTGAGCCATCTGGACTAAAATCAAGGTCATCAATTTCATGCTTGTGGGCATAGACTTCCCAAACTTTTTCCAATTCTGGATACTGAAATTATTTTTTTAAATAGTAACAAAATTATGAATGCCATTATTTCATGATCCAAAATAATAACTCATGCCCCAAAATGCTTAAGTCAATTTATTTCTTCTTTAGCAAAAAGATAATTCATATTTAGCAATGCTAACATTTTAAAAAATTAGATGCATGTAGATATTCTACACTTTTAGCAAATAACATATAAATAATCTAATTTGAAAATTATGAAGATAACACTGGACAAACCTTCCAGAATCTTAGATAACCATCAGCTCCCCCTGTTACCAAGTGAGTCATCAAAGGTGAGAAGCGTACACATTTTTGGAAGCCCCCATCACCAGAGAAATCTGTCACAACGCTGCCCTTTTCTTCTATTTGGAATGTTAATTGTTTGCTAGCTGTATCACCATTGATATTAGTTACGTCTTTCAGACTAGTGGACTTTTCAGGCTTCCTGTGTTTGACCCCATCTTGTTGATCTAAGCAAAGAAAGTGAAAACCCGTCAGTTTATCTCACACTTTAAAGTAACTTCTTTGAAAATCTAATTATGAAAAAAAAAAATTTACAATTAAAAAGAGCAGTTTTTGATCTTAAAAATTGTTAATAAAAACATTAAAAACACATTTTTTATATTTAAAAATATTTAATTAAAGAATTTTTCATGGTTGCGTGCTGTTTAGCTTAACAATGAGTTACTTCATAGTTGTAGGCCCTAAACATGTAAAAGGATATTTTAAATATGAATGTGCCTACCTTTTTCTGATTCAACTGGGCTAACAACTTTGTACTTGACTGAATATGTGTGACACAGTTCATCTTCTCCTGTAGCTAGATGATGATGACGCCCATCATAATAGGAAGCACAATTCATAACAGCCCGGGATCCAGTGTCATGTCGACAAATATTTGTGCTCTTCACACCATCTTTTGTGGACTTCAGTTCATATATTTCCTGGATTACAAAATAATTCATATATGCCTACATAAAGCATCCATCATTTGGACTCAATAATTTTCTTAGATTCTACTGAGAAGATTGTAAATTATAATATTTCAAAGTTAAATGAAAGTAAAAATAGAGGATCTGAGTATCTCTACGGTGTAGCAAATTCAATACAAATGAAATTGCAAATTCAGATAAATTTTTTTCATAGTAAAAAACTTTAAACGATTTGTACTAGAAATCCCAAATCAATAACACATTTATGCTTTTTTTAGAATTAATTTTTAAAATAAATACTACTAAATATTTATCGGAATATGCTTGCATTTTGTTTTGTTAACTATACCAACAAGGTGTTTTTAAATTATCACTAGCAGGGGAGATAACAAGTAAATAAATACAATAAAAATTATCACGAGTTAATTTTTTCAAAAGCAATTGAGGACATACATTATAAGTCACTGTATATTACCACGTATAATGATATAATACAAGAAATTTAGGGTAAAAAAAAGTCAACTTGAAAATAGTGTTTCACATTATATACGGCTATACGCTTGTACGAATATTTTCATTACACAGGCCTACTAATGCAACCAAATCTGTGCTCACTTGCATTAGTCAACCTAATGTGCATTGTATTTGCCCATAACACAAAAGTAATGCATTAGTGCCTCTTTGAAAGGATATTAGCATAGCTCTACTCGAATGACCACAGTCCTTTTAAAAAATTATAAGAATTGAAAAGATTTTGAAATTTATTATTATAAATAAATACTTATATTGTTATTTCGTACAATTTAGGTTAGGCCTTTTTTAAACCAATAGTACCCATAGCTGATATTAGACATATATGAATATGTGGATCGCATTTAATGCCATGAATTATTTAATCTATACAGTGATATTTACTACTAATATGCAGTCGCTATTTCATTTTTTAAAAAGATTTAATTTTATTCTGATGACAATGCCATGTTGTGAGCCAAAGGGTCTAATTTATTATCCATGCACACAACAACAAAAGAAATTGAGACCTCTGTCTAGTGTCTGAAAACCCAGTGATTCTGAGGTCAAGGTCCTAGGAAGTAGACCCATGTTACAAACCTCTTCTTAGTTAATAGGTTCGTTGGCTTCGTTATCTAGGGGTTTATTATAAACACTTCACAACTATAAATTCTTGTATCAAATATCTTTATTCATCCAACTAAGTCCTCAACTGCCATTTCCGTACCCAAAAGAACATCACTCCACAACCATCTACCATACTAATACATCATATCCCTTTTCACACAATACGTCACAAGATACAAAAAATAACAGATAAAACAACACACATAATCTCAAACCAACACGCAATCACACCATGCATTCAAGTCCCTAACAACCCAACAAGACTTTTATATTTGTATTACAAAAAATAATATTAACTGGTCACTGTCAGGTCTAGTCTTATTACTAGACTTGTGTTATGGTTCCTGGACTCAGGCCCACCATTCAGTAGCAAGCATACTGATGCCGTTGCAAATCTACAGGAAGAATTTGATCACATAACATGTTTGCAAACTTCAAAACACAAAGAGCCACTATTCAACTTTTTGCTGAGCCCTTCTCCTTTAATGTGGAAGATGCCCCCCCCCCCTCCTTTTATTTTTTTAAAAATATTTTATTTGCACTTTGATTGATCTTCAATGCCATTCTAAGATTAGGGAGGACAATGGAAAAACAGACAAGCATGGACAATTTATGAGAGTATTGCCCTTCACCTTCCCTGAGATTTCCAGGTTGTTCAAGCGGATCATGTGCCTTTTTTGGGAATACCTATATGTGTGAACTTTAACAAGTCAAAGTTCGGGGCTTAACTAACTGATGAGCATCTTCAAGCTATACTGAGGGTCTCAGTTGCTTCCTCACTCAAGCCAAATGATGCTCAGCTGTGTAAAAAGAAGCGCTGCCAGTTCTCTGGCACCAAGGAGTAAGAAAGTGAAGTCTAGTTCTTGAGAATCCTTAATGTTTTTATTTATTATTAATAAAGGTTGAGAAGATTGAAACACTTGTGGAATAATTGATGCGGCCCAGTCTCACTCAGACTCTACTTCATGCGGGGGGGGGGGGGGGGGGGGGGGGGGGGGCGGGGGTGGCGTCAGAGTCAAACCTAGCCCTGGGCGTCATAATGACTAACTAGGGGTGTATTTAGAGTGTTTGGCGCCCCAGGGACAAGATTAGTTTGTACGCGCCCCTCGCTACCATGGAACCCATTATTTTAATCAATAATATACAATCAAACATGCTATACATACACTTGATCTGAACACTCCCTTTGAACTCCACCAAAACTCCCTGGTCACAATAATTTTTAACTGCACTAAATCGAAACATTGAAGGGATTTTTTTTTTAAATTTAAAAAATACTTTCATGTTTATTGTTATTGAAATCAAACTTCCTTGAAGTTGAAGATATGTGTTGATTTCAAGGTCGAACATAATAATATTCCCACTATCTTACAGCTCCTGAAGCAACTTTTTGTCGCTGCTTGGATCTGTTCAATCGATCTCTACGCTAACAGGTTCGATAGCTTGCATTACAGTTACAGGGTTGTTCTTAAAATTTGAATTTCAGCAACTCTAAATTAAACCAAATTAACCTTTAAGATGAAAACTGATTAAAATTACAACTTGTGAGTGAAGTCAAGCTTGGTGAGATGATGCTGAATAAATATTTGTAAAAAAATATTAATATCTTTGCTGTGTCTTGCGCTCTTGGCCAGATTTTCTTATTGTTTGTATTATTATTATTTTAAATTAGAAAGAAAATATATCATGTATAAACCGTTACCGAGCTAACCTTTAACTTTTATTTATTTATTTGTTTTTAAATTAAGAAAAAGGATAGGGTTAGTGAGGGCCATACCTCAATAAGAGTTCATTAAGAGCTGATTTGTCATGACCCGATCAAAAAAAATTTTTTCTCTATGCGCAGCGTAAATTTCATCAGCTCATTTAAAATACCTATTAAAAGTTATGTAGTAAGCAAGTACTCAAGTACTAGACATATAAAATAAGAGAAATGAGATAAGAATTTAAACAAAATTAAAATTCAACTCAATATCCCTGTTTGGAACAGGAAATGCTGTGCCAGGCAAGTTCAAGTCAACAAATCACAAGAAAAGTTGCTTGGAAGAGAACTAAGATACTGCACAGTGATATACGCTTGCCTTCACTCTCTTACAGATTCACAAGTAGACAGAGTCATCGGAATCAAATATCACACAGTGTTAGATGCATTTGAGTTCATTCTCTTACAGATTCACACGTAGACAGAGTCATCAGAAGGAATGAACAGTTTATTTCATTTCCAAGTTATCAATAGGAAATTAAAGCAAAAACCAATTACCAGTGGTCTTCAATGATGAGGACAAGTGCATGTTTAAAACATCAATAGCCCCTTAGAATAAAACAGATCTGTATTTCTTTCTCCACCTTTTCAAAACCCCAATAAAAAGATATCTCACCAAGTAGATTACTTGAAGGGTTGAATCCTCATAGCCCCCCCCAAAGCTGTGCAACATCTCTCTAAGGTATACAATGGTTATGGTTAAGTTAGATTATTATTAATATTAATGGCTAAACCAGTGGGATTGAAAAATAAGATGTTTTTAAATTTTTTAACAGATTTTATGGCAGTGGGTATGAGCTGATGGTTTCCCCACATAAACATAATGGTGCTTAGTGTTGCAAATGAAATTTTATAAAATAGTTTGACCAAGCAGCTTTGAAAAAAAAAAATTCAAATTTAATTCCTTTCAATGAGAAATGAAATCAATGCAATTTTTATCTCAAATTCACCCCGCTTGTTTAACACAGATAAAATAATAAGTAATTGTTTTTTTCTATTTGTTATTCTAGCTAAAATATATGGTGATACTGTCTGTGACACATAATAAACACAGCATATTGATGTGAAGGTTACCAGACCCACACTACAGTCTATGGTTTTAAGATGAGGTGCATGCATTTGTTCTAAAAAAAAAAAAAAAAACGCCTAACAAACTAAGTTCTGGCATGATGGCTAATACTGAAAATTACACTGTCATGTCAAAATTAAAACGGGAATCCACATGCTGAATCCCCGATTTGAGCTTGAGACCCCTGTTGTTGTATAATGAATGAAGACAATGAAGTGTTAAATATAGTTAGTAATTATTTTTATAGAAAATCTTTAAAAACTTTATATTTAAAGTATAAAGTAAAAAGTAAATTAGACAAACAAGTTACACGCTGTAACTAAGTAGTTAAGTCTTAAGTAGTAAAAGGAAAGTCTGAAAGTGAATATGAATAAGTTTCAGTAGTCTCGTATTAAATTTTGTGGTGATACATGGTGGACATGGAGTTGAAATTAATAAAATTTGCAACATACAATCGCATTTGATATTCCAGTTTTGGCTTGCCCCCCTCCACCTGCTACAAGAAAGTGTCTCTCGTCTAGCGGCCGTACAACATAAAGTGGAAAATCTGTATGTGCCAGCAAGACACCTTTACTGGGTGCCATATTGGAAATTTAAATCGACTCATAAGTAATTCGCTATCCATATTGAGTTAGAATGCTATGGGTACGGAGAAGGGTCAGCCATCAGAGAATAAATGGTAAAACAACTTGGAAATTTTTAACATAGCTATAACTTTAGTAAGTTAGGAAGAATCATTGAATATTTCAATAAACTTTACAATAATTTGAACAAAAAAAATTAAAATTTTACTAGTTCATAATTCAAATTCATGCTTAAGTAGGCTATGGTTATATCATGTCAGTTTCGAGTATTTTTTATATCGATTCATTTTATCGTCTCTTCATAACCTTTACTTTGTTAAGTACATACAAATGTTTTTTGAAATATTGTAGGTTTTGAATTTCGTTAGGTCCTAATTTTAAATGTTTGATAGGCTTCATGCTGATTTTCTTTGGTAAGAACATCAGTGTCGTAAATTTTGAAGCGGAAACGTTAATGTTTCTGATTAGAACCAAAATAGTAAACATGGTAGTGTGACAGTATCTTAGTTGTACATTGTATTGCTTAATGGTGTTGCAATCATATCCCTTACTCGACAGGACAGTCATAAGAAGTTTTAGCGCAGTCAGGTTAGTTTTTTTTCAGATAAATCTTCTATAACCAGATGCATTATAACTGACAAGAATCAAATTTCAAAAACATAGCAGTTAGTTCATGTCATTTCAATCAATCAATAATCAATAATTATTTTTAAATTTTTTAGGTGAAATCGAAAATTAACTTAAGTTAAGTTAATCAGTTAAGCAGTGACAGTGTTAGCGTATTTTTAATATTTATTTTATTATTAGTATATAGCATATATACAAGTCTATAAGCTGATCTCCTCTATAAGTCAAGGCGTCAAGGGCAGTTTTTTTACCGATTGTGAAATAGTAGGCTATGACTATGACTTGGGGACTTGTGTGTGGATAAAATAATGGCTGTGTCTACATGTCCAGCGCGTCGGACGTATATTTCCCGCACTATTTGTCCGGCGACCAACTCACATGACCGCCGAAAGAATACTTTATCGAGATATTTGTCCAGCGACCAAGTCATATGACCGCCGTAACAAAGTGGGGGAGACATTTGTCCGTCAACCTTGTCACATGACCGCGAATGTGTCAAAACTATTGTTAATTGTTAATTTTAAAATGTATTTCTCTACCAAGACCAAGTAATTTACTGAGTATCTTGCAAACAAATAATAGAAAACAATACTTGGGAATATAATATTTGCATTTATTGGCAGTGTCTATACATCCGGCGCACCTGATGTTTAGCTTGTAAACATTTTTGTTTAGTTTGTTATTTGAGTTTGTGTACCAGCAACCCATAATATAATTAGGGGCCAGTATTCAGGATGGAGTAGGCAACCAATAAAAGTAAAAGATTTTAAATTGTAAAGTAAACATTTTAAATTGTTTAAATTGCTAAAAATATTTTAAAACTTCTCATAAGACTACTGTTGCTGATGAACATGATAATATAAATATAATATAAAATATTTTTAATTAAAATGGGGAAAAAAAGGGTGCCCATGCGGGGAATTCATCCACAAATATAATATCGTCTAGCGGCCACATGACCACACAAGATCTTCTAAATTGATATCTCCTTCGGAATAATAACGCCTACTAGTCGTCCGGTGGTCGCGTGACATGCTCGCCGGACGTATATCTCCCACGCTATTTGTCCGGCGCACCAGACGTGTAGACACTTCATATAATATTACCAAACTAAAGTGGGGGGTTAAGCAATAATGCATTCTAGAAGGAAGCAATGCTAAGAGGAAGAGAGAATAACGGTAATAAAAAATATGAATGCTAAAAAAAATAATACTGAGGGTGATAAATAATAAATTTTAAGGCAGGGAGTCCGATAGTTCACAAATAAATATACCCTACATCTTAATATAGGGCAAATATAGTAGTAGCCTAGCCTACTTGTCATGCAATACTAAATATTAATCCTGAAATACAACTTTATTGACATATGCATAGGTCTATTGAAGTCCACTGGTCTTATTTTATTTGGTTCATATTTTAAATTTAGGCTTCAAGGTAGATTTTACAAGAAGCCTACTTGTACTACTAATTATTATATAGGCCGACTAGTTTAAGATTCAAAGTCAAACACTTTATTTCACTCAGAGCATTTGAATATATTAACATGTTCAGCATTTATTTATTATCTAGGAATCTGAATATTACATGCAACTATTTTGCCGGCGACTACTTGTCACATGACTTGCCGGAATAATAACGCCTACTAGTCGTCCGGCGGTCACATGACATGCTCACCGGACGTATATCTCCCACACTATGTGTACGGCACGTCGGTTGTGTAGACACTTCGTAAAATTATAGGCTTAAATGTATGGAAGATGCATGTGGCTTGGTTAACTTGGTAATTTGGTAACAGATTTTAGCCAAGCATCAAACAGCTATTTTTGTCTGTGTATGTCAAGTATGTGTGTGTGTACCCAGTATCTGGTAAAGTAAAGCTACCAGTAAGTTCAGTAAGTACGCTAGCACTATCAGTAAGTCCAGTAACTCCAATTTGCTTCGGCGCCGCATTCAATGAAGAAAATTATAATGTAACTAACAGTAACAAGCACTAACCTGTGGATAAGTCGACCCTGTGTTTTAAAATGAAGTGTATGATGACTAAAATTTCAGTCAATGCATAAAAGAGATGCCATGACGTCATTTGCGTGTTTATTTGCCGTGAATTAGGGTTCAGGTTAGGTTTAGTTTAGGGATACATTTAGGTTTCAGGTTAGGTTTAGGCTTTGGGATACATTTAGGGTTCAGGTTGGGTTTAAAGATACATTTAGTTAGTTTTTGTGACAGAATTAACTGGTCATGTCAACCAAGCTGGCTGCCATGGGAAAAAAACATGGCATCCCTTCTTTGCATTTACTAAAATTTCTTGACTTAAAAATTTAAATTTGGTCTATATGGGCATGCCAATGCTACTATTATTAATATAATCCTTGGCTGAGTTTTCATGTTAAATGAAATCTGTCTAGTATAGTAGCCCTACCTAGTCCAAAAACCTGTGTTTGGTACTTTGATTCTCATTCGTACAAACATTCTGCGCATATCGAAAATGACACAAAAACTTTTGTGGCAGTTTAACATTCTGCTTGGTTGTGATCTCTTTTTTTTTATGCATTGCGTCACAGTTTTCTAATAATAAATTATTTTGTCATCAGTGATGTAGGAAGCATATTTTTCGAGCAAGATGGTGCCATTTTTGCAACAACGTGGATTTTGTGGCCGGCAACACATTTACACAAGTTATAATTGTTCTTTTTAGGAATTTTTGAGCAACCTTCAAATAAAATCAAAAATTAAAAATTCTTTGTGTTATGTTAAGTTTTGTTGCTCATTGTGTTGTAAATTGAACATTTTTACTGAAATTTTGGTAGCATTAACTTTTAAAATAAAAAAAATTTGTGGGCAAAATATGGGCAGAAATTTGGAAATTTGGTCACAAGTTTTCACGCAAAAATCATAAGTCCACTTCTTTTAAAGGTGAAATTGATGTTTTTATAAAGCTTATAGCTAGTAGTCTTTTAAAATAATATTTCTTGCTAATTAGTTAGCCCTATTTAATTAACTACAGGCGACAAGATGAAATTTAAAAAAAAAATATTTATGAAGTCTTTGTCTAGAACAGCAGTTCTCAACCTGTGGGTCACGACCCCTTTGGGGGTTTAAGGACTCTTACACAGGGGTCATCTAAGACCATTGGAAAACACATGAATGAAGTAGCAACGAAAATAGTTTTATGGTTGGGGGTCACCATAATATGAAAAACTATTAAAGGGTTGAGGAAGGATGAGAACCACTGGTCTAGAAGTTAAAATATTGTTATTACTCATTACTTTAAAATGAATGTCTTCAATTTCTAGTGACTACCAAGCACGCAATGAGCCATATGGAAGAGATCATGCATGGGCAGGTTGAAGGCCAATTTGATGATGCTGATGGTGATGTAAACAAGAAAAATTGTGACATTACAATTGAAAAGTGAGTATTAACTCTATATTTATCTTTAAAGAGCTACCCAGGGTCAAATTTGTGCCCATCCTTATTTTTTTCCACAAATGTTTTGAAATATATAATATTAATTTATATGTATATTAAACTTCATGCATCCTGAAGGTAGGTACAGTGTTTTTTGTGCTGTTGTTAATACTATTTTTTTCTAAAATTTTTCCTCTTTGGTCAGATTTCACCCCAGGTGGCCTGGCATTTTCTGTTTGTCTGCAGTTAGTTTTCTTCTTTATTTTTGTGGTATAAGGATGTCTTGTGCAGGAACTCATAATAAAATTAGCCTCCTGCGCATTGGCACAGAACTGATGACGAAGTTGGACTAAGTGGTTCAGGAGATGAAGAAGATGCTGCAGAGGACGATTGTGATGATGGCATTGTCCCTATGGAGGTTGTAGCGTCTACAAGCAACTATGTTTTATGGAGTTGCCAGTTTCACTGCAGTAAATTCATTGGCCATAAATGCACACAACACAACATGGTCACAGCCTGATTTGTCAAGTTGCGTTATAAACTTTAAAATCTATTTCTTCTTTATTTTGAGGGCCCAGGATCAATAAATTGATCATTCTAGCTCCATTCATCACTCTTGTATACCTAAATAAATAAGTGAATCTTGAAAAAAAAGAGGAATTCATAGAACATAGATTCCAGTCATGCCATTGTCATTTTTACCATTTCAAACTAAATTGTGCTTTTGTATTAAGGCATTATTATGTTTTTTCAGTTTAAAAAAAATGTCTTTAAAAAGGAGTCATTTACAGCCATTTTCATAGTGAGGTCTAATTTGACCAAAGGTGGCCTTCTGCATCCTAATGGATTAGGTGGCCTTTTGAGGGCTAATTGTCATTAAAAGATTAGAGAGATAAGTTCACCTCATAATTATTTGTGAGTTAATTATTCTAATTATTGTGGATTCAAATTAAAAGAGAATAGGAGCATATAAAACATTTCAGTCAGGTTAACTACCTTAAATATGGAGAAACATATCCAGCATAAATAAGCATCATAGTAAGCCTTGTGATCAATATACATTATAAATTAAAATTTGGATCTAAAATTACAGATTATAGAAAATATATTTGCTTTAACACAGGACAATAAAATTCTAGTTATTTTAAGTATCTGAGTGTGCTCCACAGTTTCATCTAGATTGCATGTGGTGGAAATCAAAATAATTACAAATATGAATGTAATGCAAATGTATTACCTCTTCCCTGCACAAAGTCTTATCCTAAATGAGACATTAATAATATGGTGTCCTTGATGGTTGTGCAAGCTCATAAGTGTTGATCTTGTAACCTTTGTTACATTACTTGAATAGATTGCCAACTTTTGTATCCGTCATCTCTATTTCTTAAAATTATTAAAATTGCAATAAGAAAAAGTTGCTCTGCATACATCTCATCAGATCATCAATGTTTTATCCAGAAAAATTAGCAAAGTAAACACAATTTTCATTTTTTAATGTTTGTATCAGTGCCTGTAGGGGCAATATTTTTTCATCTTCTTTTTACATTTTGTTTTTTCTTATCACAGATTGAGCAAGGATATCCAGGGTAAGTTTTTCCATTTTTATTATTAGAAAAAGGAAATTACAAAAACTCTGTATCACATTTCACTGATATAAAATAAAATTGTAAATTTATCCTAGATTCAAATGTTCACAACGGTTTATATTATTTTTATTAAAATATCATGTTCGTTTTAAATCATCAACCATCCTCAGCCATCACCAAGAATTTTAAATTTTGTTTTACAATTCAACCATGAGCACCTTAAAATTTTTTTTTTTTTACCAGTTATTGATTAAACATTCTGAGTTCGCTTTAAAATTAAATGTTTTTGTGCAGTGGCTTATAAAATTAAATTTTGCGACCTGTACTACGGCTTAATGTTTATTGGTGTACCAATTTACCAGTGCTGTTCTGTCCTAAAATAAATTTGAAAATAATTTTAAAAACTTTGTTTTAATATATTCTTTCACTTTTTTCAGAATTGAACAAATATGAAGATTATGATGATGACTATTATGATGATGATGATGATGATGATGAAGACTATGAAGAATTTAACACACGCTCTGGCATATCAAAAGATTTCAATGTGATTATTAAATTTTGTTAACTTACATTTAAAGATTAATGAAATATCTCATGTATCATTAGATGAAAGTCTAAGTTTTCCACTGTTTTCACGAGTTTCTAACTTATTTGTTGTTTAGAATCAAATATATATTTTAATGTAATCTCACTTTTTTTAAATTAGGAAATTGCTGTAATAGTTGTTCCTAGTATAATTTCTAACAAAAGATTGATGCAAGGCTTTTTGTTATTTAGGTACAGTTTCATAATCCCAGCCAGGGTCAACTTCACACTCAAGTCAATAAAATTAGTGTGGGTAGGTAAAAGCTTGTGTTTATGTTGTGTCATTGGTGGTCTGTCAATTAGCTTGTTATTCTTTATCTTGTGATGCACCCAGTATTTCTCTTATAGAATGTTTTAACTTTTTATATTGGTGATGTTTATATATTTATATCTATAGAAAATTATTCCATATATATTATGCTTATCAAAACAAGAAGTTAAACATGTTTTTCTTTTTCCATTATTCTAATTTATGTAAATAAAAATTATATACAGTTGATTGACAAAGACAAAAATCATTTATCTTTCCACTATAAATTATTAAAAGTTATTAAATTGTTCTAATTTTCAGGTGAATACAAGAAAGGGAGGTAAGTTTTCTACTGTGGATAATTAACAAATATAAAATTTGCTATTACAATTTGCATAGTTGTGCACAGAACAGTTTTTCTATTTGCCTTTACGGTGATGTGGTGATGGGCCACAAGTCCAAGTTGAGCTACAATTGTCCAAAATGAGGTTAAATTTCTTAAATTTAAGCAAGTCAGGGATATTTTTTTTCCAAGATGGCAGCACCCCACCGTCTAGTCAGCTAATGTATTGCTTTATATAGTAATTTATGAATACCTTGGATTTGTGTTGTGGTAATTAACATATTTGACTGAAGATGAAAATTTGCCTTGTTAAAATGACAAGGTTGATGAAGATCACATGCAGTTGCAGATCACTAGTATATATTTAGTAGTGTTAAAATTTGGTTTTAAAATAACTTTTCTCCACCTTGAAGTCAACTGAAAACAAAATGTAAACCCGTAAGTATTTAAAAACTATGTTAATAATTGTTTTTTCACTAATTTAAAAATATGATGCTAATTTGCTTTTTTGTTTTTTTTTCAAAACATGAATTTTTAATATTTTTTTAAAACACGGTTTATTTGTTTGATGTTGTTCAGGCGAAGGGACAAGTCCCAGCAAGCCACTGTCGAGCAGGTCCTTGATCCCAGAACAAGAATGATTTTATACAGGATGCTGAGTAAAGGGACGCTGCTTGAAATAAATGGAGCCATCAGCACTGGAAAGGAGGCCAACGTCTACCACGCAACAGCTAAAGATGGAACTGACAAAGCTCTCAAAGTAAAACACCTGCATCATGATTTATTGTTAGTTATCAGTTGTTGTTTTTTTCCCCAGCTCCTTTACTCCATCTTCTTAAAAAGTCAAATGTCTCATTCTCTGACCACGTTTAGGCCACTTTTACTGAAATAGACTAGGGACTTAAAAAATTAAATAAGTTTACCAGTATTTAATTTTTAATTATGCTGTGCTCATATGTTTAAAAGTAAAAGCAGGAAACTCGGAATTTATGGACTTGTTAAAGAATTTTGTTATGAAAGGGTTAAACATGGATATATTATTACATTCTTTTGGGTCTGTGAGAATTAATTAAAAATACAAATTATGCTTACATTTCTGAGAATGCCTATTGGTCTGCTGAGTTTGTGTGTTCTGTTTAAAATATAAATTTGTTGTATTAACTTATACTCGCAGATTTACAAGACATCCATTCTAATTTTCAAAGACAGAGACAGATATGTGACAGGAGAATTCAGGTTTGAATTATCATATTTTACACACCTAAAATGTTACTTGTTGCAGGATGGCATCAGTCACATTACAAGCTTTAGATAGATAAAATAACATAAGTTGATCTGTGTTGAACATAGTTCATTCACTCCTTCAATTCATTTTTAGAAATAAAATCAAAATAATGTGAGCATCAAAGGGTCATAACTTTCCAAGACTTTTTTTCTGTAACTAAATGTGTATTGAATTATAATCACTGTTGAAATTGATGAAAAATTATTGTGTTTTTGTGGAAAGTTAACTTTTGCTTTTGGCGGGGCAAGAAGTGGGAACGTTAATATAAATATGGAAATATTATTTCAAAAATGTCCACAATTAATAAACTTGGGTTTTATAATATTTTTTCTTTCTTTTTTTAAAAATTATAATTAGATTTATTTTATTCTTATAAATCCATTAATAAATTAAGTTTCCAACCATTTGTCATTTCCATTAATGTTAATGTTCCAGATTTCGTCATGGTTATTGCAAGTCTAATCCCAGGAAAATGGTGCGACTGTGGGCTGAGAAAGAGATGAGAAATCTAACCAGGTATGGCAGATATAAACATACAATTTTACAAATGACATGGTTTTCTTAATGTGGGACATCATTTTTAGAAAATGAGAGTTATGTAATTTTGAATAGCCTTAGCTTTAAGAAAATGCATTCTCTCTCTTTTTTTTTGTGTGTTTAAAGTGACAGTTTTCATGACTTGCTTTTCCCCACAGAATGTTTAAAGCACAGATTCCTTGTCCAGAGCCAATCTTGTTAAAAAACAATGTCCTTCTCATGGATTTTATCGGGGAAAATGGAGTGTAAGTCTCATTTTTACATATCAATTATAGTCTTACTAAAGTAATTTTTGTGGAATTTTATTTTAGTTTTATGTGACAAAAATTTTAAATTATCACTTTCATTTTGTTAATTGTTACTTTTGTTTGAAATAATGATAGTAAATATCGATATTTGTGAACACATGACTGTTAATGAGTTGATTTTGTTTTCTGTTTGAAGGGCTGCCCCATTGCTCAAAGATGCACAATTTAATGAGTCAAAGGCCAGGGAACTTTACCTGGACATCATCCTCATGGTGCGCAAACTGTACCATGAATGTAAACTCATCCACGGAGACCTCAGTGAATTCAACTTGTTGTAAGACACGTGGCTCCCTCTTATTTACTTCCTACTTAAGATTGCTTCTTTTTCTATCTTGTCTGTTGGTGTTCTTGCTTTTCTATTGGTGCTTTTGCTTTTCTATTGGTGTTTTTTTTTCTATTGGTGTTGTTGCCTTTCTTGCTGTTATTATGTTTAAAAAGTGTCTAGTATTTCAAACAATTCAAGTAAATTTACTATTTAAAAAGTGGTCCTTTTTTTTTTTAACAGAACAATTGTTGTTTTTTTAAACTTGTTCTGAAATCTCATTGATAATGTCGTTAATTATATACATTTTTGATGTTGTCACAGGAAAGAATTAGGCATGAGAAACTATTTTTTTTAAAAAGAATTCAGATTAAAAAAATGTTTTCCCCAGATATTGTAAAGGCAAGGCATACATTATAGATGTGTCACAGTCGGTAGAGCATGACCACCCACACGCCATGGAGTTCTTGCGCAAAGATATTACAAATATTACAGGTATCCTATTTTCTATTTCTTTGGCAGCGGCGAAACGCAACAGAGATGAGAGAAAACCATTTCATGTGGGATTGTAATTTTTACTTCTTTCAGAGTCTACTTTGATGTTTAATTCATGAGTATTAAAATTAACCAGGCAGTCAGGAACCATATACTTAGTTAATTCTTTATTTAATCAAGGCATACTTCACACTTCTAAAATTATGTTTGCAAATGCTATAAAATGGCTGTTGACAAATCATGAAAGAAGACCTAAGAGTCAAGATAAGAAATATGCAAAATGTCTGTTACACATAGCATTATTTCTTTTGTAGTGGATCTACCATGATTATTTAAAAAAAAAAAAAGACATTTTGTCTTCCTACGAACATGTAATGACAACTTGTCTTGAATTACTCCCCAGATTTCTTTAGAAAGCGAAATGTTCCCACCATGACGATAAAAGAATTGTTTGAGTTTGTGACTGATACCAATATAACAGCTGTCAATTTGGACGCATACCTGGAGGAGGCCATGAAAACATCTGCAGAGAGGTCAAACGACGACATCACAGAGCAGGAGAAAGTAGATGAGGAGGTCATTTTTTTTTTTTTTTTGGGTGGAGCAGGTGCTTAACCTGCAGGAATTGAGAACCTATCGAAAGGACTGAGGTTAATTTGCATAAAATCATTGAGGAGTAGAGCCACTAGGGATACCTACCGTATTTGATTAATGTCTATAAAAATTGATGTAAAAGTTAGAATATTTTAAAAACAAAGTGAGTTGATTTTAGACTACTACATCTGCCATGATCTTTTTTTCAATAATGTCCCAAATTAAAAAAAAAATAAAACCATAAGTTTCAAGATTCAATGTTTAATAATTGTATATGGGTTGTTGTATGTACAGATCTAAAAATAACCCGTGCTGATGAGAATGGCTTCTCATTGTGTTACAGAGATAGTACTAAATTCATCAGCTCATCCAACAATTTTATGTTTATCATGTTTGAAAGTAATTTATGTTTTACATCAATTTTTTGTCTTACAAATAGAATGGTTGCTAAACATTAAAGAAAATAATTATTATTTTCGGTGTTCAAAATCTAATATTCCAGGTTTTCAAAAGAGCATTTATACCCAGAAACCTTGATGAGGTGGTGGACATTGAGCGGGATGTCCGCAGATCTCAAACCATGGAGGGAGAGCAGGTAAACATTGCACGAATAAAAAAAAACTTTTCAGTTCAATTACGTCTTTTTTTTTAAAACTAGAAATGACCCATCAAAAATTGTTTTAAAGAGAAGATTTTTCTTGAAAGTTGTTTATATTTTTTTTTTTACTACCTTAGATTGTTTTTTCTTTAATGTTTTTTTTTTTTTTTTTTTTTTTTCCTTTGTTTTTTTTTTTTTTTTTTTTTTTTTTTACAATTTAATTTAATAATTACATTTAAATCACCTCCTCTATATCACAGCCATCACATCACCTTGCTTGAACAGGTTACTACACACTCTATGATTGCTCCAGGAACATCTCACCTAGTTGTGGGCTTTCTCATCTGACATTCAGTATCCATTCTTTATTGATTTTGTCATACTGTATTTGATTCATCTCCTTCAGGTTCTCTATCATACCGTGACAGGTCTGAGGCCAGATTTGAGCGGACCCAGTCAGGTGAGTAGACAGGACAACAGTGGTTCTCAAGCCACAACTGCCTTTTGATTTGTCTCAGGACTTACTGTCGGTTACACTAGTAAGGATAAATATGCCTAGCCTAAATCCTCTATCTATAATTATATATGAGACCCCAGAGTGGGGACATGCATTTATGGTAGAAGGTTTGGCGGTCTGACCCTAAAAGCGTCCACGTATCTCATTCTTGTTGATGTTTGAAACACCAAGGTTTGCTCTTGTAAAACTAACAGGACATTGCCTTCATCAGGTGCCTAAATTGTTGGAACGCGATGAGGAAGATGAGGACGACGACAATGATGATGACGACAGCGAAGAAGGAGAAGAAAATAGAGAAGAAGAAGAGAGCGATGGTTCCGAAGATGGTCACAGGACAAAGGGGGAAAAGGAAGATGATGGGGATAACAGCAGCAATGACAAGGAAAACGAAGACGTAAAAAACAAAAAGTTGCATCCGGCGAGGCAGAAACATGAAACGGCTGAAGAAAAGCGGGTAAGTCATTGATCCTTTCATCCTCTACCTCTTGTAATGGGCTTAACCCCATAGGCTGGTGGACCAACACATTGGCCTTTACCTGATTGATCATTGTAAAAATTAATTATTTTAGAAGTATTTATTTCTTTGAATTTAGGATTAAATACCTGTGTTAGTAATTGTTGTCCTCTCTGACAAAGAGTTTGACAATATCTATAATTGAATCAATTTCATTTTTTATTTGAATTAGAAAAAACATTATACTAAATCTGAAAAATTAAGTTAAGTTCTTCTGTACTGTTCAATCTGAAATCTGTTTCCATCGTAAGTTCAGCCTTTAATTTCTAGATAGTTTTATCACCACACCTTGGACTGCAGGTTCAGCAGTGATCTCTGGCTAATTGTATGGATTAAGGTCAGGGATTGAACTTTTTTAATTAAAAAAGATTGTTTCAGCAAGTCATTTGTGTTTACCCCATTTACGGTTTTTCAGTTTATTATTATTTTTTCTTGTTGAAATTTTAACAGCTCATTAATGTTCTACCTCAACTATTTTTTGTGTGTTTTGTTTCAGGAGAGGAAAAAAGTCGTGAAAGGGGTACAGAAAGAAAAGAGACTAACCAAGATGCCCAAGCACATAAAGAAGAGACAGGTTAAAGTTGGCGCCCTGAAGAAGTGAATTGAAACCTCAGGTCAAGCAAATTTTTACTGAATAGTGAATGTGATTGCAAAATTTTGTTATTTAAATAAATTACTGCTGAAACTGAAAGTTTCATTTAAGAATTATCATGTGCTCTGAGAAAGAAACACTTGTTATTTTCAGCTAAATGAGAAGTGTTGAATGTTTAGTAAACATGTGAATATGGAATAAATGATTTCAGATCTGTCATTTCAGATGTCTGAGTTTATTCAGTTTAAATATATGAATGTAACAGTTTACTATGCACTACTCAACCAGTTGAAGGTAACTTTATTTCAATCCATGGCAAAAATAAAAATAAAATTGTCTCAACAATCATTATGATAAGGAAACCTTTTTTCAATTTTTTAAAAATTCATCCATTCATCTGTCTACAATTTGTATTCGTCACCACTTTTAATTTTTTTTAATTTAAAGTAATTTAATACATATTCACATATATATATCACCGGTGATTACTTCAAAACTACACTTGTTAGAGGTTAAGTTGTGATGCAACCATAAGCGTCCGCGGCACTTAATACAAAAGTTATTATATTATGTAAATCCGGTATACACTACTATAGAGAGGACAGAACAGGAGATTCAATTTTTATATTATTAATATTTTAATTTTATGGATAAAGGTATAAAACTATACAACAGCTCAGCTACTTTATAAAGTTATCTAGCCACTCACAACCTTAGAATTGTTTTTAAAAAAATAATATAATGTATATATATATATATATATATATATATATATATATACACACTAAACTATTTAAAATCATAACCAGGTCTCTGCTGGTCTGACTCATACAATACATAACAGTTTATACTAAAACATAGCAATGGGCACAAGTAAGAGGAATTCTAATTGATTAAACACGAAAGAATGCGTGACAGTCATCAGACTAAAGGATCATTCTGCAGGTGCTACATGACATGCCAATATTTAAATCAATGGTTTCTATTCAAGCCTTGGAGTTTGCAAAGACGGCTCAAGGATCAATGTTCAATTATGAAAGTGAATACTGGAGATGTAATTTAAATCGGGATGCAGTAAATTAGGCCAGTTTAAAAATGACATATACATTTTGTAATTTATTCTAATACGAAAACGAAAGCTTCAACTTAAGCCTGCAGGATAACTCCGATTTCAAAATATTCATACCCCACACTCCTCGGATGTTGCCAAGTCAGTTTAATGCATACACAAATCACATTTGTGCTCTTTGATAAAACGTTACATATTTAATATGTTAAAATTAAGATGTGGCACCTGTGCGTAACACAGATGTGACACCTATGCATGACACAGATGTGATACCTATGCATAACACAGATGTGACACCTATGCATAACACAGATGTGACACCTATAAATAACGCTGATGCTACTCCTATGCTTAACATCGATGTGTCAAAAATGTGCATAATACAAATGCGACACCCGTGCATAACACCCATGTGACACCTATACACAACACATGTGACTCTTATGCATAACACCGATGTGACGCCTATGCATAACACAGATGTGACACCTATGCATAACACAGACGTGACACCTGTGCATAACACACATGTGACACCCGTGCATAACACAGATGTGACACCTATATGCATAACACAGACGTGACACATATGTATAACCTTTTAGTTTATGAGAAACAATCAGCTCTCATCTTATGATTTTTTTCTATTTACCCTCATGTTTCTGGTTGTTTTTTGTTTTGTTTTTTGCGTCACAAATGTCTGGTTCTTCCACTTCCAGCATCCCCTGAAAATGCCTCCCGCACCTCCGGTGGTTCGGGCATACAGGTGGTTCGGCCACACAAGTAGTTCGGGCATACAGGTGGTTCGGGCATACAGGTGGTTCGGCCACACAAGTGGTTCGGGCACACAGGTGGTTCGGGCATACAGGTGGTTCGGCCACACAAGTGGTTCGGGCATACAGGTGGTTCGGGCACACAAGTGGGTCGGGCACACTTTGTTTAAGAGACCCTTGATTTTCAAGGATTAATGATATGCACAGAAATAGACCCAGTGAAACAATTAATTGTAGATCTCTTTGTTTGCAACGCTTGCAATCCATTTTGGCTGGTTTTTATATAGATCCAGTGCATCCACTTTTTATCTAATAGAAAGCCTGCTGGCGTGACGGCCTCGGTGTGGTTTATCCCAGTGACAAAATACTCGTCCCTTATTATCATAATAACTACATGGTTTTTGGTGCTGGATTATTTGGTGGTGTGTAATGTCTCTGCAATTTGTTTATTGATGAATGCTGACTGTCTTGCGTCACAGAAGTTTACCGCACTCCCAACATTGGTCGGCATTAGACAGGCTGCCTATATTTTTAAACCCGACCACATCGATTCAGTCGACCACATGGTGTAGTTTTAGTCGTGACCTTATGATCCCACATTTCAGCCACACGATCATCAGATAACGCTCTACATTCATTGCATAGTTCACTCATTTATTGCTAGTTTTGGTGGTTCTCGTAATATCCAGCTTAATATGTCTTCAAATAGACGTTCAGAAGTTCTCCCAGTAGGACATGCATGTCTATATTGAAAGCGTTCAGTACTGTTCCCATATGTATTTACAGCTTTAGATCTCTACAGGCTGACATTTTTTCCTAGTCGTTCGCGCCTTATTCACATGGTTTGTCTCTGCCAACAGAAATGATGTGTAAATTCCATGAACGGTTATCGTAAAATTTAAACAGACATTTTTCGTTGAGAAACACATAGTGGATAGATAATGTTCATTTTTGTTCAGTGCAGATATATAGTGGTCCTTCATGTGTCTGTGTTTATCTACATGCATCAAATGATCTCTATATTCGAAATCAGTTCTGGTCCTTGAATTGGAAGCATCTGACACATGGACCTAGGACTCTCAAGACTTAATACTTATACACATCAAGGGGTCTTTTGCACTCTCCGATTTATCTACGTACCGGTACATCCAACGATCTCTTTTTATCTAATATGATATTTCTGTGCGTTCTCATGTCATCCATCTGAAATGCACCTTCGACGCAACAGACGCAATCAGTGGTCCTCAAACAACGTAGTTGTCGTATCTGATTTCCATACAGACGCATGCCGCTAAGGCGATACAAATAACCTGAAAACAAAAGATCAAACGAGTGTCTCATTGAAATGAGGGTTGTCTCTGGTTGCTAGGGACACAAGCGTTACATATATTTGACGAAGAGCTTGTTGAACTTAGGAGTTATCTTTGCATAATTACAGTTGAATCTCTAGAATGTCTAGAAAAAAAAAAATTAATTTGTGGAGTATTCATTAAAATCAATATTGTTGACCATCGAAGTAGGAGCAGTCCTTACAAACTATTCCATGCAATAATTTCAATAATATCTCAACGGGCTCTTCGGTGTATGAACAGAGGTGCACCTATTGTGGGTTTAAGGGGGGGGGGTGACCGCGAAGGGCGGACACTTTGTGGTTTAAACCAGAAGAAATACACGCACGTCCTGGTGGTTACTCAAATCTCTCCAGGTTATTTAGACACCGTGTCCTCGCTGAGCTTGACGCCATAAGACATTTTATAAGTACAAAGTGGCTCATCCCTTTCATAATGTCCATAACCCAGGACTTGAACACTTAAGACATAAGTTATCTGTGCCCTTATCGAATTGTGACAGCATGGACACGGTTCTTCAATTGTGTCAACATACGAGGTTTTATACATTTATAGCCGCTTAAAAGTTGGAATGTCAATGCAAGGACGAAGCCTGAACCGAAAAGGTATAGCCGTGGAGCGATATGAGCAGTACAAAGGCAAACAGGAACTTCAATGAGAAATGAGATGTTGGGCCGAAGGGTGAGAATTTTGTGTTTTTTAATTTAAAAAAAAAAAATCGTACTAATATTAAACCTAGTTCGATGAGGGAAGTCCTATCTCTTTTTGTTAATTATTAGCTGTTACATAAAATAATAGTTGTAACAACTAAAAAAAAGATGAATGCTGCTTACCGTGATTAATATGGTTACAAGGATAACTGCAGCAATAACTGCGCTGTTTTCCGTGATGGATTCCCTGACGGCGTCGTAACATCCCTAGTTTGGATTATGGGAGATTAAAGTCACTATACGGGACTTATTGCATGACTGATGGATTCAACGTTTAAAAATTAGATGTACAATGTGTTCATGTTCATGGTGTGACTTTATGTTAATATTTATAATTACAAGAGCAGCCAATAAAAGTGTTGTTTTTTTTTAAATATTACAAACAGCAATTACTCCTCTAAGAAATCTATCAAGTGCTCTGGAACTGGAATCAAATTATATTAAATTAATATTCATTCTTGAAATGGAACGCTGGAAAAGATTGTGCTGAGGTAAGTGCAAAACTATTTGGTTAAAATACAATTATGCTCCGTTCAGTCGTGTATTGGAACGTGTAGATAAACAAAAATGATAATGTGGCCCCAATGCTTGATTCACACTCAACAGCAGCTCTGTCAGTTGCAGCCGACAGGAATTCGAGGTACAGAATAAAATGAAAATTCACGGAGAGGCACTAAGTTTATTTAAATGTACTCTCTCAAAAACCCACAAGGCAGTGGTTGCAGACTTTCAAGTCAAAACATCAAGCCAATTGTCTTTAGATAGGATTAGTGCCTATTGGGGTGGGCCAAGAATTTTGCCGCTCCCGTGAGAAAAAAAACAAACAATACCCCTCTCCATTTGGTCGAAAATGCCGCCCCTCTTATAAAAAAAAAATGTCCGCCCGGGGCCAGCCGCCCCTCTGCACCCCCTTCTTACGCCACTGATCCAGCGCCCCTTTCTCAACATTGAAAGAGTATGTGATTACCCAACGTCAAAGGCAGTCTTAAAACGTTAATGACCAATGAAAGATGAAAACCTACCAACCTTGTGGTATAAAGCCGGGTTGGGGTCGGTGACCATGGAAGGTTGCCTCTGGGCTGGTATAAACACAGGACCGCCGGAATCCTGCAGCCTCTGGCACTCGGTGAGGTTGGCCAAAGTCACGTCACAGCAACTTTCGGGGACGTAATTCTTGAATTCATCCGGGCCTGTTTTTTTAGTTTAAAAATTGGGATTAAAATGGCCATAGTTCTTCCATTAACAATTACGTGCTGTCCTCCTCGTGCGTGGTAAAATTTAAACGCAGAGAGAATCAAACGATAATATTATTTTTAAAAAGTAGGAACAGTGTAATTACTCAATTAAAAAAAAAATATATAATTTAAAATAATGACCAACAGCCCTCATCCCCACCCCAGTAAAACACACTGCCCCATGTCAGGCCAATAAAAAAATGTGAAAAGTACAATTTTTTTTTACCTTTTTGTTGTTCAAACCATTTGCTTTTCTGATACAGCCACCAGGACCAACTACTCTTGAGTCCTCCACTGACACCGCAACAGTGAAACTGTGACATAAGTAATACAATAACTATTGACATTGCAACAGTCTCAGTCCCATCAGTTCCCGCAAAACCCCCCCCCCCCCTCTTGAGTCCTCCACTGACACCGCAACAGTGAAACTGTGACATAAGTAATACAATAACTATTGACATTGCAACAGTCTCAGTCCCATCAGTTCCCGCAAAACCCCCCCCCCACTTACAAAACTGCACTCATACCATTCTCTTTCAGAAGACCATCTTTTTGTTTGGAAAGAGTATAAGAAATTAATGGCATCATACAATTTCCAACCCCGTCTCTGGCCCCCCTGTAATGTAAACAGCTAGCTACAGGGAACCTTGGAGGGTAGAACCAGCTCAAATTTGAACATCCCTAAGTGGCTCTTATCAACCAACGCTCCCGCAGACATTGTCACATGATGCATCACGTGATAGAAAATGGCGCACATACGTATGGACTGACCTCTCTCTGAATTTTATTCCACAGATCGGTGGCCAGAGTGTTGGTGTCGTCACGACTGTAGTTGACGTAAAACTGCTCGGTCAAGGTCAGTTTCATGTGGGCGGACAACTCTTCTTCCAGCTGCCGGTAATAAGGAAATGGGTCAAACAAAGTATTGGGAAAACCTTAAGACAAAAAAAAAAAAAAAAAAAAAAAAAAACAAAAAAAAAAAAAAAAAAAAAAAAAAAAAAAACAAAAAAAAAAAAAAAAAAAAAAAAAAAATAAAAAGAAAAGGGGAAAAAAAAAATATTGGAAAAACATAAAAAAAAAAAAAAAAAAAAAAAAGGACTCGACGAAACAATGGACGTGTCGGCAAGAAGTCTTCTTCGGCTAACAAACAACAATCAACTAAAACGAACACTTAGCTGCAAAGAAGTATGCGAGAGGACAGCAAGAGAAATTTAAAAGACCTTTTGAATGTAGTAGACCATTAAAATGTAAAAGACCATTAAAATAGAATAGACCATCAAAAAGTAATAGACCATTAAAACGTAAAAGGCCATTAAAATTTAATAGACCATTTAAATGGAATAGATCATTGAAATGTAAAAGACAATCGAAATTTAATAGACAATTGAAATGTAATAAACCATTAAAATGTTCAAGACCATTAAAATGTAATAGGCCAGTAAAATTCACTTGTTATGACAGACTCACAAATGTTCATTCTGAATTAAAACTTTTTTTTTTTTTCAGCATGATTTGGTTGAAGTACCGTTCACCGGATTCGTCTCATTGGGACTTTGAACCATTGGGAATCGAGAGACGAACCAGCTGGAGTTCAAGTTCATATCCAGATAGAAATCTAATGGGGCTTCCTCGAGCCCTGAAATTTTACCACTTCCACGCACCTTATACAAGCACCTTATACAAGCACCTTATACAAGCACCTGATACAAGCACCTTATACAAGCACCTTATACAAGCACCTTATACACGCACCTTATACAAGCACCTTATACAAGCACCTGATACAAGCACCTGATACAAGCACCTTATACAAGCACCTGATACAAGCACCTTATACAAGCCCCTTATACAAGCACCTTATACAAGCACCTTATACAAGCACCTTATACAAGCACCTGATACAAGCACCCGCCCTTGATTCGGGCCTATTCACCATAACCCGAAGAGACGCCATGTTATAACACTAACACCCTAGTATACGTGGCACAGACAGCAGATGCGGGGACACAACAGCTGGATCGGGAGGATGAGGATGATTTGCTATTTAAGCTCGCTCTGATTACATCATCGCTGACAACTAAAAGAGGGCATGTCTCATGTCTTCGTTTGATTATCTCTCGGGCGCGTGTGTGTGTGTATGTGTTTGTTCATTCTCCGCTATGTCTTTTTGTTCCCTTTATGTTAAAGTTTATTCACAGTGAATGTACATCAACAAGGTACAGAAAAAATAAATACAACGCAAACCACCAACCCCCCCCCCCCCTTTTCCCTCACTAAAAAAAACCCAATGATTACCTACAGATTCTCTGAAGAAAAATCCGATAATGGCACAGATGAGAAACAAGATGAGGATCACCAGCATGATGAACAGATACTGAAATATAAAGAGAGAAACAGTTTGGTAGTGGACGTAAATTAAATTCTTTTAAAAGCAACAACCTCTTAAAAGATGGAGTGAAAGAGTGGACTTTACTGTCTTGACTTTTAGATAAAACTAGAACAATTTATGAACCATATTTGTGGAAAAAATAATATTTTTCGAAATGTAATAAAAACTTGCAGTGAGGTGATATAAAGTTTATTAAAAACACCCCAACTTCTATCCATCAAATCCATTTCGAATGTTTTCCCGAGATCACCACGTATCAGCATTATATATTGTAGCAAAATGTCCACGATAATAAATCTGGATGTGAATAGTTTTTTTGTGGATCATTTTGCTCAAATTAGGACAAGAAATTTGATGAAATTCTGTCACCTGACTATTTTTATGAAATGCTGATCACTGGGGGTTTAGCTGAAAAACTAATTTTTTAAATGATTTTGCTGAAATGTTGATATCTAATGCGGATAGGCGATATCTTGTGATTTGGCTGAACTATTGATCGCTGGTGATTTCCCTTAAATTATAATGATCTAGGAAGAGTTATTTCCGTCATGCTTATTTCAACAGGGTCGGGACAACATAGACAACATAACTTGTCTAACCACTCCCCAGATGGACCAGCTAACATATACAACATAACTTGACTAACCACTCTCAAGATGGACGGGCGAACATACTGACCACTCCCAAGATGGGCCGGCTCTCCAGCAAACTCCCTAGGCAGCCAGCGAGGGCGATGACGCACACAACAGACCCAGCAACAATGACGACGGTGCACGTCACGTGGTACAGCTCACTTCCTGTCATCACCTTCATTTCCTTCTCTCCGTACTCGGTTGTGAGGGACCAAGTACCCAGGCCGACTGCTGTGGCGCCCATGATCTTGACAACAATAAGCATTGCACACGAATTAGGTCATGTACAATTAAAATATTGAGTGGACAAATGACACATAACATCGCTAATTACTTATGGTGACATTGTTGGTCTGTTAGTCTGTTAGCGAGCAATATTTTATTTTTTTGAAGGAATAACACGTTGCTCTATATATTTGAAGCTTTGTCTCAGACTAGCAATACTCGCTAACAAAAAGCATTCAAAATCTCGCATCTCTTACACATATTTTGCTTCTGATTCTTCCGGCTTTCTCTTCACAACGGGCCTTCCGCCATCTACACGTTTTATATTAATAGTACTGAGTGAGGAAAAATTTGGTCAAGTAGCAAGCTTTCATGCGTGACGTCCGAATTCCGTTCCAGTTGATTTTTTTTTAGTTGGAGGCGACTATTATATTAATCAATAAAGAATCATGGATATAGAGTAGGACTGTCGGTATGACTGTCGGTAGGACTGACTGCAAGCTCATTTTTTTTAATGGGTAGGGCGTAGGACTGTCAGTAGGCCTATTGTTTAAAGGCCGACAGAGAGGGTTTAGGACTATTTGTATGAATATTGTTTAGAAGCCGACAGATAAGGTGCAGGACAGTCTGTAGGACTTTTGTTTAAAGGCCTGCATGTAGGGTGTAGAACTGTTTGTAGGCCACTTATTTAAAGGCCAGCAGGCATGACTTTCTGTGTCCTAGTGTTTAAGTGCCAGCACATATTATAGAACATGAGAAGATAACTTTAAAAATAAAAAAAGTTTTGATACACCGGGTATTTTCTCAAAATAACCGGATCCGGTGTTAAAAAAAAGAACAACAACTGCATCTGGTTGAGCCCTGGCGTAATATATTAAATAATGTGAAACAAGAAACACATGTGCTTATTATCAAGTGTGTGTCCTCGTCGTCTTTGCCCTTTTGTTTTGAACTCCCTGTGGAGCATACGCCATCATCAATATCTCTCCAAGAATTCCCGTATCTTGCAATCTCCTCCATTTCTTTCGAGCTGTTTCCGATCCTGAGTGCGTATGTAATGAAACTTGACACGAATAGATTTTTATGCATGAACAGAAATAAATTGGTTACGTGCAGTGCAGTGTGCTGTATGGAGTGATCACGTGTTTAGATATCAAGTTTAGATACACACGATGCTACATGTCCACACGATGTAATAATTTCCATATCTGTGGGACACACACACACACTCGCACGTACAAAGCACACTTGCACACACCAAAATGTTTTGTTAGGGCCACTCAAATTTACATACAGTATAATTAACACACCAAAAAAAAAATGGATCGTGAAATCGCAGGGCCGTAATTGGACCCCATAGAGGGCGCTGTGAATTAATTGGATCTTTAATGGCGGACTGCCCGTCTCCACTAACAGATCGAACTGAAATCTTTCTTTTTTTTTTATTATATAAGATTAAAAAAAACAACAAATAACAGGAACAGAAGAATCCATTCCGTCCTCAGAATTTAATTCTGTTTATACAAGCCCGTTTTTTACCAACGTTATGATAACAAAATGAACATTTCTTCTTTAATGGCATTTAAGTGCCCGATTCTAGTGTTTTGTGTGTATGCCTCACAACTGATATATTTTGTGAATGCCTTGGTCGTCAGGGATATCTGTCAATTTTGAAAAATTGATGGAACTTCCAGGGTCGACAATTATATTGTCCGTAAATTTACTGGACAGTCTGTAAAGATCTGACCTACACTTACTCGTCTTTAGAGGTCCGAAAAGAAAAAAAAACAAAACTGTTGAATTTCCGAAAAAAAAAAGAAAAATTATGTAGAGAGCTTTTGAAGAGATTAAGAGATTTAAAACGGCAATTCTCGGTTCATGTCGTGTCTTCGTGTTTAATTTTACACTTGGATGACATTATGAGAAGAAATGAAACTTTGCCGAGAATGTAACCTTTTTTTTTTTAAATAGGCTCATGATCATATGACACAGTGTTAAAAAAACGTGAAAAAGACGCACATGGATAATTTAGAAATTAACAAAACATCATGATTTTAACAGTTTTATGTTAACATTGTGTATCCGTGTGTATCCGTACAACGTGTTTGCTCGTAATTAGTATTATTTGTGATATAGAATATTTATTAATAAATTAATTACCTATATCATTGAGTTGCCTGGGATCCTCGGTGCACATATACAAAACATATCTTGTTTAATATAGCAAATATGATAAGATGTACATTTTGTTCAATTTTTCCGTTTCGGAAGAGAAAACAATGTGGTAGAAATTTCAAGCAAACATTTCTGAATAAAAAAATAAATTTATAAATATAAATATTTTCAATATTTTCCTAATGTTCAATTTAGTCAATGAAAAGTGAGATGAGACTTAAGCAATCACTGTCGCAAAACACTCACTGATCCAGAGGACAGAGAGGACCATAAACCAAAAAGGGATAGAAATGTAGCAAAGACAATACCTAAGATTGGAAAAAGCTACAGAGAGAAGATTTGTGGGGATCGTGAATGGCAATAAAACCAAACTGTGGTAAAAGCCCAGTTAACACTAATATAGGATTGGATATTATTTTCATCCATTTTTTTACTTCAATTATTTAAATGTTTAGCTCAAAATTGTTGAA